CCTTCCTCTCTGAAATCAAATAAAAAAAAAATATTCTTAGCTCTGGCTGGTTTGGCTCAGTGGATAGAGCCTTGGCCTGCGGACTGGAGGGTCCCAGGCTCGATTCTGGTCAGGGGCATGTACCTTGGTTGCGGGCTCGTCCCCAGTGGGAGATGTGCAGGAGGCAGCTGATCAATGTTTCTCTCTCATCGATGTTTCTAACTCTCTATCCCTCTCCACTTCTCTCTGTAAAAAGTCAATAAAATATATTTAAAAAAAATATACATCCTATCTAATAATAGACAAACATGGTAATGGACCGTAACTTCACTACGCCTCCCACAGGCTAATCAGCATGATATGCAAATTACCCATCAACAAAGATGGCGGCTAATTTGCATACTGCAGGCAGGGCGGGCCAGCGTGAGCTGCCATCCGGGCCCCCGGGTGCCGCCTAAGCCCTGCCGCCAGCTGGGACCCCCATGTGCGGCCCTGGGCAGTGGGGCTTGGCGACGCGATTGGCCTGAGGAAGCCCTATTCTTGCAGAAATTTTCCTGCAGTGGGCTTCTAATATATATATTCAAAAGATGGGTGACAATCCTTCATTTCCCCTGAAATACAAATGCTGGTTAACTACTGACCGAGTGTGCTCGGGGCACTGTATCTTGGAACAGGGTTTTAAACCATCTCACTTTACTGAGTCATGTGTTAGCCATGGTCTAAAACGCGGCAGCCCGCGGAGCGATGCAAACGGACATGGCATTGTGAGCTCACCTTGGCCTTGGACGTGAAGAGTGACTTGGGGAAGAGCTGCACGGGGAGGTGGGAGGAGTAGGAGCCCGGGTCTTGCTGCTTCTTGGTGAGTTCGAGCCCTTCCCGGGTCTCCACACACGGTGAACGGCCCCAGCTGACCACAGACTGCACCCAGCTGGGGTCTCCCCCGGCGTGGAGCAGGTTGACGATCTCCTTTATCCAGCTGGTTCCTGGAGGAGGGAGAGCGTGTCCGACATTCATCGGCCTTGGGTGGCACTGTGACATATTAAAGACACGGTCATCTCAGCCATGTCGCCCTTGTCCATGAATCAAGCTGATGGCTTCTTTCTCATCTTAACTTCCTTTTGGCCACATTCAATGGATCCTTCATTTCCCCCCCCCCTTTTCTTTATGATATTTTTTTCCATTTAGAGAGAGGGGAAGGGAGAGAGGGAAGGAGGAAGGGAGGCAGGGGAGAGAGAGAGAGAGAGAGAGAGAGAGAGAGAGAGGCAGGCGCGTGAGATAGACACATCAATAGGTTTCCTCCCACACATGCCCTGACCAGGGTGAGGAAAGAAACACAACCAAGGTACGTGCCCTTGACCGGAATTGAACCAGGGACCCTTCAGTCTGCAGGCCACTATTCTATTCACTGAGCCAAACCAGCTAGGGCCTGCTCCAAATCTTCTCTTTTATTTTTATTTTTTTATTGTTTTATTGCTTAAAGTATTACAAAGAGTATTACATATGTCTCCTTTTTTCCCCCCGCCCTTGACAATCCCCTGGCCTCCCCTACTCCCCAGTGTCTTATGTCCATTGGTTGCTCCAAATCTTCTTAACCAACACCCTCCATCTACTGTCGAACCACTGCACAAATGCCTTTTCTAACTATTTACATTTCCCCGGTCATGTTTTATTGTCTTTTTCATATTATTTCCAATATTCACAACAGTAACGTCTCCACACACCCCAAAATGTAGTAGCCAGGCCAGCGTCTCTGGTGCTTGAAATTGTTCAGAAATGCTGTGACTTTTAAAAATCAATAAATCACTTTGAATTCGCTGCCCAAACATTGCTTGGTCCTTGTTCCTCTCTCACTCTCCTAGTCTGATCAGAGTTGTCAATGGACTCACCTGCTGACATAGAATTCTCAAGTCTTAATCGCATCTCTTGCTTCCTACTCATTTTTTTTTTCTCTTAGAATTCCTTCACTGTAGAGAGCACGTAGTGATCTTTGCTCAAATGCACCTGCCATTTCGCCATTTCAATGATCTTCCTGGAAGCATGGAATAGAGTATGGAATCTCGGAGGGAAGGTGGGGGAGGTGATCAACCAAACACCTTGTGTGCATCTATGCATGGCCCATGGACACAGACAATAAGGTGGTGAAGGTGGGGGGTGGGGGCGGGCTGGAGGGGATCAATGAGGGGGGAAAGGGGGAACATATGTAATACTTTCAACAATAAATAATTATTTAAAAATAAACACATCATCTTTAAAAAAAAAAGTGATCTCCATGGGATTACATGGCCTTGGGATAACTTCCTGAATCTTTAAGATGAATTTCTGGTTCCTCAATCATTTCCCACTCAAACCCAACCAGCCTCACCTCCTGCTACTCCCTGTCCCTACTCTTCCCCCTGTTGTTTTAGGTTCTTGACCAGCCCTCAGTGTCTCTCCAATCTGCTCCATTTCACAGGTAACCCGGCCTGCTCTCTTCTCTCTTCAACGCTGACCAAGTCTCTCCTTGTGATTGAATTTTAATCAGACTCCTCTGAGCCATTTTCTTGACCAGACGTAGACGTAGACGTTGGCTTCCTGTGCCCAGCATTGCACGCGTGTAGCAAGACTCCTGCTGAGTCAGTCATGAGAATCTTCCCACCTCAGGTATTGAATTATGGTCCTAAATGGGTAACCCAGCTCCCCACCTCCTGTTTCTGGCCCTGCCCCCTTACCTGACTTTGGGTAGGACAGTATGATGACATCCTCATCCCTGACCGCGAATTCATCCCGCAAAGACCTCACGTCTGAGATAATATCTGTGTACAAGGGGATCCCTTCCATCCGAAAGTAATCTGCAGCCATCTCAGACCACAGGCGTTCCAGCAGCTTGGCCTGTGTGCTCTGGCTTGCGCCTCAGGGACAGCCGCTCTGCTTCCTGGGTTTGGAGCCAGGTGGTAATATAGAGGGCAGAGCCACCCAAGGCTCCTGCCTGAGGGCCATGAACCGGGGAGAGTCACAGCCTGCGCCTGAGTCATCATCCGAGACCTCAGATGTAGCGGTCAAGCGGAAAGAAGTTAACTAGAAGAGGACGCTCTGCCAGGAGAAGGCGTGAGCCTGCACGCAGGCCGCGTCAGAACAAAGTCTTGCACGCGAGACTTATTGTTCCGAGGCAGAACTTTCCTTGACGTGATGAATAGTCCATGAGGGCAAAGAAAGTTCAGGGGAGGGTGCACTGCTGCAGGTGGAAAGAGTCTTTATATAATATAGGAAATTAATAGTGTAATGTATAACTTAGCTTTGATGATTTCATAAAGCATGTTTGTTAATCATTGTCACTTGCTGTACCCCATTGTTAATCATTGTCACTTGCTGTACCCCATTGTTAATCATTGTCACTTGCTGTACTCCATTGTTATTTGCTGTGCTCACCCCCAATAAAAGCCATAAGGAATCAGAGGATCTTTGCTATTCGCCTGAGCGAGCGGTAGCCCTCTGCTTCTCCGTATCCTGTCGTCCGACTCATCTCTGCGCCTCCGTTCACCAAGAACATCAATACTCAGAACATTTTGTGAAGACTCAGCGACTCATTGCATCATGGGGAGCTCCTGGAGGTTCACAGACAGAGAGAGAATAGAGAGAGATGAATGCCTTTTCCCTTAAAGGCCATTTCCGGGGGCTGGGGGGGGGGGGAGAGGGAACAAAAACAAACAAAAAAAACACTTAAGTTCTTTCCCTGCCACTTAATTATCCTCATGCTGGGGACAATTTCTCTCAGGTTCACAGTGAATTATGGCTTGAATTGTGAACACCTCCAATCAAATGGTATATAGAGAGCCCATGAAAATGGTGATTTTCTAAGAGAATCAGGTTCGATTTGTGTTCTCTTTGGTCCATTGAAAATGTCTGAGCCATGTTCACCCATGACTGGCGGTCTGTCTGATGTTCCCACGTGTAGGCCTGGGCAGAACGTGTACAGTCTTTTTTTTAAAAATACATTTTATTGATTTTTTTACAGAGAGGAAGGGAGAGGGATAGAGAGTTAGAAACATCGATGAGAGAGAAACATCGACCAGCTGCCTCCTGCACACGCCCTACAGGAGATGTGCCCGCAACCAAGGCACATGCCCTTGACCGCAACCGAACCTGGGACCCTTCAGTCCGCAGGCCGACGCTCTATCCACTGAGCCAAACCGGTTAGGGCGATAAGGGGTTAATTTACAAAATGCATGAAAAACTCATACAACTGAACTGAAGGAAGACAAAAAAAAATCCAATTAAAGAATGGGCAACAGGCCTGAGCAGGCACTTCGCCAAAGAGGACATACAGATGGCCAATAGATGTATGAAAAGATACTCGGTGCCACTGATTATCAGAGAGATGCAAGTTAAAACCACGAGGATACATCACCTGTCGGAACCTGTCAGAATGGCTATCATCTGTAAGTTACTAAACAACGAGTGCTGGTGAGGACGTGGAGAAAAGAGGGTCACTGTGCATTGTTGGTGGAAATGGAGACTGGCCCGGCCATTATGGAAAACAGAATGGAGGTTCCTCAAAAAATCCAAGACGGAACTGCCTTATGACTCAGCCTTCAATAAATTTAACCAAGCCAATAAAAGACCTGTACTCAGAAATGTATAAGATACCGAAGAAAAAAATGGAAGAAGGTAACAAATAAATGAAAGCATATACTGTGGCCATGAATAGGAAGTATTAACCTCATGAAAATGTCCACAGCACCAGAGCAATCTCTAGATTCAACGCAATTCCTATCAAAATACCAATGGCGTATTTCACAGAACTGGAACAAACACTCCAAATTTTATTTGGAACCACAAAAGACCCCAAATAGCAACAGCAATCTAGGGAAAGAACCCAGTTGGATGTATCACGCTACCGGATACAACCTTCTGGGAATTTATTCTGAAGAAACTCAAACACTAATTTGAAAGAATATGTTTACCAATATGGTTATTGCGGTGTTATTTTCAATAGTCTAGACTTGGAAACAGCCCAAGTGCCTGTGAGTAAATGAGTGGATGAAAAAGCTATGGTACATTGACACAATGGAGTGCTATTTGGCCACTTCATGTTTATTTATGTGTTATGCCTACAGCATATAGTTTGAAATCAGTGAGTCTGTTGCAGGCAGCAATACGTAGGTTTTTTTTTAAAAAAAATCCACTCAGCCATTTGTCTTCTGATTGGAGAATTTAGTTCTTTTGCATTAAAAGTAACTACAGATAGTTATGGCCTTGTTATTGCCATTCTGTTCATTGTTTTCTGATTCCTTCCCTTTTCTTGTGATTTGATGATTTGCTGTAATGACATACTTAGATTTCTTTCTCTTTTCTTTATCTGCCAGAGGTTTTGGCGGTCACTTAGGCTTTTATATATATATATAAAATTTATCTATAGATAGACATTTATATAGACATACATTTCTATGCAGAATATATATACTTTACAATACATACACATTTATTATACAAATGATCAGAAAAAAATATGAAATTATATTAATGCTCAAAGATTTTAATATTATAAAAGGGTGTGACTCATTTGCCTAAAAAATGGAAAGATCCCAAGTCTGGCTTACGGAAGGGCCCTGACCCCTTGTTAACCTTTGGTCGGGGATATGCTTGTGTATTTCCAGAAAACTCCTCCAAGCCCATGTGGATTCCTGCAAGGAACATTCATTATGGATCCGGGAGAGGAACTGACCAGACTGGTTACAGGCAGGCAGGCAGGTCAGCAGTTAGGAGCCAGCAGTCCCAGATTGCGAGAGGGTGCAGGCCGGGCTGAGGGACACCCTTCCTCCCATGCACGAATTTTGTGTACTGGGCCACTAGTATTTAAATAAAATAAAAATAAAGTAAAACAACACTGCCTCAAATTCAACCTGCTCAATGACATTCAACTTTCAAAGTTATAAATTTCCTAATATTTATTCTGAGATAATTTCTAATACAGTTTGGCAATTTTAAATTTCTTTCATGTTGATTTTCAATGTTGGGAAATTTTTTTATTGAAATGAAATTCACATAACATAAAATTAAACATAATGTTTACATATTAAAGTAAACATTTCAAAGATTACGTTTGTTGGTCATTAAAATTCTGTTATTTTTTAATTTATAAAAAACATGTTCACTTAAAAAAAAGTTAAAATAAAATAGTTAAAATATTATAGAAAATATTAACTGCCCCTAAGAGCCCTCCACTGCCAACCTGATCACCCCCTAACTGCTCTCCCCTGCTGGCCTGATTCCCCCTAACCACCTCTGCCTTGGCCCCTGCCACTGTGGCTTTGTCTGGAAGGATATCCGGAAGATGTCTGGTCTAATTAGCATATTGCCCTTTTATTAGTGTAGATAGATAAGATCTGAATCATAACCAGGAAGCCGAGTGTCTGTCTTCTATTGCTGTGGCTGGAACAACCAGACCAAGCTTGGAACGCTGGCGTTGGGAATGGCTGGAGATTACGTGTGGATTGAAGGGATTCCTTTCCCCACAACTACCATGGAAGACCTCAGATCTATGCAGGATGAATTTGTGGCAAGGGATGAAGATATCATCATAATTTCTTACCCAAAGTCAGGTAAGAAAGTGGGATGAGACATTGAGGTGGGGAATGGGGTTACCCAAGGTGTGCCTTCTCTATGCCTCACCTTTGAGTATGCTTTGGTGACCGTGTGGTTGCACTCCAGAAAGAGGGGGTTCATGCAGGCAATTATGATATAAAGGGATGTGACCACCAGGGCACTGTAGAGCTATAGAGAGCCTTATGGATGAAGAGGCTAAGGCAGAGATTCAGGTGATTGCGATGGGTGTTTAAAAGGGACAGGTGCTCTGGCTGGTGTGGTTAAATGGTTAGAATGTTGGTCTGTGCACTGAAGCATCTTGGGTTTGATCCTCAGTCAAGGGTATGTACTTGGGTTGCAAGTATGATCCCCGGCCTCAGTCAGGGTGCGTGTGGGAAGTAACCAATTAATGTGTCTCTCTCATATCAATGTCTCTCTCTCTCTCTCTCCAACCCTCCTTCCCTTTCCACTCTCTCTAAAAATCAATGGAAAACTATCTTTGGGTGAGGATTAACAAAACAAAAAAATAAATATGGGGGACTGGATACCTGAGAATCTTGGCAGAAGGAGCCATCTATCCTGTGATGTCCACAGCAAATGTAATACTGTGAGGAGCAAATACATATGTTCTGACATTTGATAAAATGGGCAGAAAGACTTTATTCAAGATTAGTGCAATGAGAGAGAGAGAGAGAGAGAGAGAGAGAGAGAGAGAGACACTAAAATCAACTCTGAAAATAACAGCCAGTGGGGAGTTGTAAGTAATGAGCAGAGTGAGGTCAGTGGATGCAAAATTACTAAGAGGATTTAATTAGACATGAAGGGTTAGAAAATTCTCGCAAAAACGGCCTAACAAGATCCATGCGAAGACAAGCCAAGGCGTTGGACATCAAGGATGGGGGATGGGGACCTTGGTAAGCTACCCAGGGTGAAAGGATTCCCATGATTGATTTATAAAAATTCTCACTAAACTTGGCTCAGCAAGGACGGTCACAGACCACCCAGGTCAAGACCTAGTCATGTACAGGACTCAGAAGAGTCTGGCTAACGTTCTATCAAAGATAGAGTCTTTGTCAGAGTTGGAGAGGGAACAGAACAGGGTGGGTTACATGTGGAATGGTCTAGATTTGAAATATATGGAGGGATAGTCAGGAACCTGAAAAAAACAACAACAACTTTGTGGAGAATAGGGAGAGTGTAGTATCAGGAGATGAGACTGGATGTGTTTAAATGGAAAAATCAATGTGGAATTTTATTATTATTGTTAATCCTCATTGGAGGATACTTTTTCCATTGATTTTTAAAAATATATATATTTTTATTGATTTCAGAAAGGAAGGGAGAGAAGAGAGAGATAGAAACATCAATGATGAGAGAGAATCATAAATCGGCTGCCTTCTGCATGCCCCACACTGGGGATCGAGCCTGCAACCCAGGCATATGTCCTGACCGGGAGTTGAACCGTGGCCTCCTTGGTTCATAGGCCAATGCTCAACCACTGCTCAACACCAGCTGGGCTCTTTTTTGAAAAAATATTTTTATTGATTTCAGAAAGGAAGAGAGAGGGAGAGAGAGAGAGAGACATCAATGATGAGAGAATCATTGATCAGCTGTCCCTTGCACACCCCCTACTGGGGATCGAGCCCGCAACCCGGGCATGTGCTCTTGGCTGGAATCGAACCTGGGATCCTTTAGTCCCCAGGACGACGCTCTATCCACTGAGTCAAACCGGAAGGGCGGTAATTCATTTCTTGATGATAGCGGACATACCGTATATTAGTTTCAGGTGCACAGCATAGTGATTGGACGTTTATGTTCTTACAAATTGACACCCCCCACCCCCGAATATCCCCAGTCCCCACTTGGCCCCATCCATACTGATTACAATATTACTGATTCTATTCCCTGTGCTGGCTACTTCTGTTTTTCCATGTATCTGTCTCAACCACCGAGCCAGGCCAGCTGGGATCAATGAGGAATCTTGAAGTCATGGTGAGGCATTAGGAAATTGTCCAAAGACAACGTAATTCCAAGAAAGGTTTTGAAATGGCAAAGTGATAGGTGCATATTTAATAAATAAGTAAGTAAGCAAATAAATAAACAAACACAATGTAGTGATGGAGTCAAAAGTCAGATTGAAATAGGTGACACTGTGTTCTTTTGCTCTACAGGAACCAACTGGATATCGGAGCTCATCCATCTGGTCCACACCAGGGGAGATCCCAGCTGGGTGCAATCAGTGGTCAAGTGGAAACGTTCACCATGGCTAGACAACACTTTCGGGCTTGAAGATATAAAGCAGCAGCAGGAAGACCCACGCTTCTATACCTCCCACCTCCCCATTCAATTCTTCCCCAAGTCCATCTTCAAGTCCAAGGCCAAGGTGAGCCCATAACACAATGTCCGTTTGGATCCCTTCTCGGGGTGTCCAGGATGCCCATGTTCTCAGGACACGGCTAACATGTGGTTCAGTAAAGGAAGATATGTTAAAGGCTTGCTCCAAGGCACCGTGTCCTGTTCCAGACAGTCTCCCTGGTATTGCTCCAGAGGACACTCAGCCTTTAGTTTAAAAAAAAAAAATCCCGGCTGCATCGCCAACACCACGGTCCTCAACATGGACGTGGCCATGGGGGAGGCATCTCAATCGTAAACCAGCACCTAAGTTTCAGAGGAGATGTGAGTTTGGCACTCACCTTTGAAACTCCAGGAGGGCTTTTCCAATCATGACACGATCAATGTTGGGCAAGTCGTTTCCATTCAGTAGATCTACAGCCCTCCAATGTGTCATTTCAGGAGCTCGAAAGGAAGACTTTAACAGTGAGTGATCCTGGGCTATCAATGTGCATTCTGCCTCATCTGAGATTACAGTTTAAAACATACGACACCAAAAATATTATTCACATTGTATGAAACACCTTCAAACAATCTTACGGGATGTGACATTACTAGATTTATTGTGAAAATATTGGAAGAGATAATAACTGAAAACTTTCCCACCTGGTGAAGGAAACAGACATACAATCCAGGAAGTGCAAACAGCTCCAAACAAAACGAACCCAAAGAGGCCCACACCAAAACACATCAACGTTAAAATGCCAGAGGCTAAAGGCAAAGAGAGAATCTTAAAAGCAGCAAGAGAAAAGCAATTAGTTACGTACAAGGGAGCTCCCATAAGACTATCAACTGAATTCTCAACAGAAACTTTGCCTTTTAGTGCTGAGCGGTTCACTGCAATGACCCTCTCTTATGCACTGGCTGAACTCGGCTGCCTCTCTCCCTCCTCTTCACTGAGGACACAAATCCTACTAGTCCTGAGACTTTCTTGCATAGATTTCCATCATGATCTCTCGCATATAACTTTCCTTAATGACTTATGAACAATGGCAACAAAAAAAAAAATCCCAGAAAAAACAAAAAATGACTTGTTATAGGGAAGTCTTCTCCAAGTCTCTATGACTCTCTTTTGTACACATGAAAGGCAAACACAGAGCAGAGCTTAGAAGCTGAGACCGCCCTACTTACTTCTTCCCCTGTACCTGTCCTTCACTCTTTGAGGAAACATTGGAGAAACGTGCAAGTTCGTTTTTTATCTCTTGAGTTTGCACCACTTAAAGCAGCATGATGAGTCTATTCATGCCACCATTTTGAAATTTATAAAGACCATTCACATCTGCCTGATCCCTATCTGGGAAATGCTGGTGTGGTAGGAATTTCTAGGAAAATCAACAGAAGCCCAGAACATGAACTTCCTGGAAGAACACAGAGTAGGGTGTCACTGTCAAAGTCCCAACAAAACTCAGGATGTTTAATTCGCACTCAGGGCTTCTTAGTCAGTGGTGCCAAAATGGAATAGCATTATTCCCCCCCCCCCCGAGAAACCTTTAGAAAACTTCTCCATTCATTGTGTCATAACGTCCTTGAGAACCAAAATGATCCACACGTTTCTCACTGTTCGCTCTGTAAAGCCTGAGTAAGTGTCTGTCATATGGTGGGTTCTCAATATTTTGTTAAATGAGTGAATGAAAGAAGATTAGATTGAAGCTCAACACTTTAATGAGAATTGAATTTTTCTTGACTTGCAAAAATTTCAGGGCAGTGAGAATGAGTATACCTATTTTTCTTATTTCCTTTTTTTTTTTCTTCATTTGAGTGTGTCTACATCACGAGAAATCCCAGAGATATTCTTATTTCTGGTTACTATTTCTGGAAAGCGATCAAGGCCACCAAAAATCCAGGCTCACTTGAAGAATATTTTGAATGGTTCCTTCAAGGAAATGGTGAGTGTGACTCGAAATAAGGATTCTAGGTGGAAGGGTGGAGCTCCTGCCCCTCACATCCAGGTCTTAATTTCTTATGGTTTATACAACGACATTGCAATCCAACCTCGATGTTGTGGAATCTGAGCAAGTCCCATTTACATAGAACCTTTGTCAACATGCTTTGCTCCCATAACATTTTTTTTATATAAATATATTTACTTTATTTTATTTATTTATTTTTAATATATTTTATTGATTTTTTTACAGAGAGGAAGGGAGAGGGATAGAGAGTTAGAAATATCGATGAGAGAGAAACATCTATCAGCTGCCTCCTGCACACCCCCTACTGGGGATGTGCCCGAAACCAAGGTACATGGCCTTGACCAGAATCGAACCCGGGACCCTTCAGTACACAGGCCAATGCTCTAGCCACTGAGCCACACCGTTTAGGGCCGGAAATAACTCTTGATTAAGGGGTTCAGTGACCCCCGTGTAGTCCCTCATGGGGAATCGCTCAGGAAAGTGGGGGGGGGAGAGAGAGAGAGATAGAAGATAAGCATATAAAGCTATCGAAATGGCCCTTATTTGTCAACTAGCTTATTTGGAACAAATCAACAATATCAAAGTGACAGGCGCACTTGACATGTGATCCCCCAGCTACATTCATCTGAATAGAGAGAACGTGTGGCAGAAACAAAATTCCTGTAAGACGTGCTGTCCCTCGACCCCGGAGAGGTTGAAACGGCCCCCGTGAGGTAGGGACGACCCTGGTCAGGTCGAAACGGCCCCGGTGTGGTAGGGACAACCCCGGTCAGGTTGAAACGGCCCCCGTGAGGTAGGGACGACCCTGGGCAGGTCGAAACGGCCCCGGTGTGGTAGGGACGACCCCGGTGAGGTTGAAACAGCCCCCGTGAGGTAGGGACAACCCTAGTCAGGTTGAAACAGCTCCGGTGTGGTAGGGACGACCCCGGTGAGGTTGAAACGGCCCCCGTGAGGTAGGGACGACCCCAGTCAGGTCGGAACGGCCCCGGTGTGGTAGGGACAACCCCGGTCAGGTTGAAACGGCCCCGGTGTGGTAGGGACAACCCCGGTGAGGTTGAAACGGCCCCCGTGAGGTAGGGACGGCCCCGGTGAGGTTGAAACGGCCTTGGTGAGGCTCAGACGGCCCTGGTGAGGTTGAGACTACTCCAGTGAGGTTGGGACAAATAAAGGGGACCAGTATGGACTGATGAACAGGGGGTAGATACAGAAGCAGAGCAACATTGAACAGAATGTTAAACTACAGTGGGAAGCCTGGGGAGGTTGGGGGGGGGGATTAAGAGACCAACTGAAGGACTTATATGCATGCATATAGGATTAACCAATGGACACAAGACACGGGGCGGGGGGGCGGGGGGTAGGGGTCGGGGGAATGTCAAGGGGGGGAAAAAAGGAGACATATGTAATACTATTTGTAATACTTTAAGAAATAAAAATTATTATTAAAAAAAAAAAAAAAAGACGTGCTGTCCCAAAGGCATGGGGTGAGTGAAGGAGAGGCAAAAACATGTGCTGTCTACACGTAATTACATCATTTAAATCACATCAGGAAACATACACACACACACACCACACGCACACTCACACACACACACACACACACACACACACACAACACACACAACACAAAACACCAAAGATATTGACTTCAAACGAGGTGGAATTTGAGTTCTGCTTTTCATTTCCCAACTAAATTCTCTTTAAAATTCAAAATCTCTTTTTTCTCACAGGGAGATCTGGATGCTCATCTTAACACGGGGTAACCTATAGAGCACCCTACTTGTTTGCTTATCGAGGACAATAAAATGCAGAATTTTCTTTCTCATGAAAAAGGAGAGGACAAGAATTGCCAGCACTTGAAGTCTCTTGCTCAATCAAATACTGATGGCATCGGAAAAGGGTGCAGGTGTCTCCTACTTGCTGATCAAACTTCCGAAGGCGTGGCTGACATGAGCAGCGTTGCCTAGCCCAGTGGTCGGCAAAAACGCGGCTCGCGAGCCACATGCGGCACTTTGGCCCCTTGAGTGTGGCTCTTCCACAGAATACCGACTTCTGCGCATGGGCCACGAAGTTTCAATCCCACTGTACGTGCGTGCCCGCTCGTGGTATTTTGTGGAAGAGCCACACTCAAGGGGCCAAAGAGCCGCATGTGGCTCGCGAGCCGTGGTTTGCCTACCACGGGCGTAGCCAATGGGGCTCAGAAGCACGAGCTACTCACCTTCTCTCCTGGCTTCTCTTGCAGTGCCATATGGCTCATGGTTTGACCATGTTGGAGGCTGGCTTCAGATGAGAGGAAAAGAGAATTTCCTATTTATGTTATATGAGGAGCTGCATCAGGTAATTAATTCTTCTACCAAAAATGTCACTCTCTCCAACTCCATTCATGGCTGTCTACCTTCCTTCCATACTTTAATTTTACGTATTTATTTTTTTAAATTAAATTTATTGGGGTTGACACTGATGAAGAAGATTACATAGGTTTCAAGTGTACATTGCTATGATTAAGAATAGAGTTACCATCTGACCCAGCAATCCCTCCGTTTTTTTAAAAAAATTTATATATTTTTAATTGATTTCAGAGAGGAAGGGAGAGAGATAGATAGAAACATCAATGATGATAGAGAATCACTGATTGGCTGCCTCCTGCACACACCCCACCGGGGATGGAGCCTGCAACCCGGTTATGTGCCCTGAGCGGGAATCGAACTGTGACCTCCTGGTTCATAGGTCGACACTCAACCACTGAGCCACGCTGGCTGGGCAATCCCTTCATTTAAAAAAAAATATATATTTTATTAATGTTGCAAGGGAGAGGGAGAGAGATATAGAAACATCAATGATGAGAGAGAATCATTGATTGGCTGCCTCCTGCAGGCCCCCTACTGGGGATGGAGCCCGCAACCCAGGCATGTGCCCTTGGCCGGAATCGAACCTGGGACCCTTCAGTCTGCAGGCCGACATTCTATGCACTGAGCCAAATCAGCCAGGGCTAATTTCATGTTTTCTCTCTTGTGGTTCTCATTCTAGGACATAAGGGCCAGTGTGGAGAAGGTCAGCCAATTCTTGGGCACGAAGCTAAGCCCAGAAGAACTGGACTCCGTCCTCAAGAATGTAACCTTCCAGGCCATGAAAGACAATAAAATGAGCAATTTCTCTCTAGTCCCCGATATCCATATGGACCACAGAAAAGCACATCTTATGAGAAAAGGTAAGAGTCTCTAATCTTACCACATGGATGTAATGGACAGTGAACTCCCCAGCTTCTATAGATGCACTAAGACATGGGGTGATGAAAATATCTGACTCTATTAAAATCACATAAGTTGTGCAGGACTTTGAGAGTTTAAGGAATAATCTGAAGTATTTCTAAGGTTGTAAAGAAATCTTAGGGAAAAAAAAAGAAATCTTAGAAAATGAAGCATTGCCGATGAATTACATCTCTCTCTCTGACAGTTTTTATGAGTTTATTTGAGCCAAATTGATGACAATTGCCAGGAAGCAAAATTTCAACAAACTGAGAAAATGCTCCAGAAAAATGGCAATTTTACAATTTATTTTATACATCAGAATCAACGGAGAAGATGAAAGGGGTTTACGTGAAATCCACTGATGATAGCTTAGGGAGGCAGAAGAAAGCAAAGTGGGGAAATCCCTGGAATTGAATAAAATGGGGAAATGAAGAGACAAATACATTTTTTTTTGTTTACATTGGTGGGTACATTATATTTTAGTAATATAAAAATATATTTAAAAAATGTCTTGCATGTTAAATGAGGCAGACGTGTAATATCCTAACACAGTGCCAGGCATTGGAGAAATTACTACATTTTAGGCACGATCGCTTTTGTTGCCTTTATCATCACTCAATCCTCACAATGTCACAGGAGATAGGTACTGGGAACAATTTTTTAAAAAATTGATTTCAGAGAGGAAGGAAGAGAGAGATAGAAACATCAATGATGAGAGAATCATTGATCGGCTGCCTCCTGCAGGCCCCCTACTGGGAACTGAGCCCACAACCCAGGCATATATGACCTTGACTGGAATCGAACGTGGGAGCCTTCAGTCCCCAGGCCGACCGACACTCTGTCCACTGAGCCAAACGGCTAGAGCTGGGAACAGTCTTGTGAAACAGACGGCAAACAGTAAACTCAACTACATTATTATGCAACTGGCAGTTTGGCATTGAAGCCAAGGGCATCTGAGTTTTAACTGCGTGGTTACACTGGGTGTGTTTTGTATTGACGGTGTAAGATAGATTCAGAGTAGAGATGAATAGAGAAGTTCAAGTCCTGGCACCTTATCTGTAAATCTGATCCGGACTCATGTTTTGTGTTTGACAGGAATCATTGGCGACTGGAAAAATCACTTCACAGTGGCCCAGAGCGAAGCCTTCGATAAAGTCTACCAGGAGAAGATGGCCGGGGTCCCCCCAGGCCTCTTCCCGTGGGAATAAGGGCCTCACGTGTCTGAATCGGGGTGCAAAGGCTGAATTTCCTGAGGTTCTTGTGTACCCAACAAAGCAAACTCTACATGATGAGCGATATTTAGGAAGTAGGTGGGTCCAGGTAGAACCCCAAGAGATGTGATTTCTAGAACCCAATTATTGACCGGTCCTCGCCTTAACCCAACAAGGTCTACAGTCCATTCCACACTTAATTGACACTAACCATGTTCCTTTTCTGCTGCCATGCCAGCTTCCCAAAGTGAATCTTTTTTTTTTTTAAAATATATTTTATTGATTTTTTACAGAGAGGAAGGGAGAGAGATAGAGAGTTAGAACATCGATGAGAGAGAAACATCAACCAGCTGCCTCCCGCACATCTCCCACTGGGGATGTGCCCGCAACCCAGGCACATGCCCTTGACCGGAACCGAACCCGGGACCCTTCAGTCCGCAGGCCGACGCTCTATCCACTGAGCCAAACCGGTTTCGGCCCCAAAGTGAATCTTTTGTCATATTTCAAACATACAGAAGAACAAACAGTATTTTTTAAAAAACAAATGGCAATTCTATCCATGTTAAAAAATAAAATTTAAAGCACACCCTCCTCCTGTGATCAAATGCCCAGGCACTGCTCCTGCCCTGCCCACCTTCCCTCCTCCCCACCCCCTTCAATACCTGTCACTTTCCAGCCACCAAGATCTTGGCAGCTAAGCAAAGAAGGGAATCCACTGAGAAGAGTCTGTAAAGTTACAGCTTAAAGAGAATCCCGTTCAAGATGGCGGAGTAGGTGAAAGCTGTGCTTGCCAGAACCAGTTTGGCTCAGTGGATGGAGTGTCGGCCTGCGGACTGAAGGGTCCCAGGTTTGATTCCGGTCAAGGGCATGTACCTGGGTTGCGGGCACATCCCCAGTAGGAGGTGTGCAGGAGGCAGCTGATCGATGTTTCTAACTCTCTATCTCTCTCCCTTCCTCTCTGTAAAAAATCAATAAAATATATATATATAAAAAAAAAGAAAGCTGTGCTCACCTCCTCCAATGACCACATCATAATTACAAGTCAGTTCAGCTGGTGGGGCTCAGTGGTCGAGCATCGACCTAGGAACCAGGAGGTCACGGTTCCATTCCCGGTCAGGGCACAAGCCCGGGGTTGCGGGCTCAATCCCTGGTGTGGGGCGTGATATTGCTATCTCTCTATCCCTTCCTCTCTTTCCAATCATCAATAAAAACTTATTTTAAAATTTACATTTGGAAATAGTAATGTTGGGTGGAGATAATATTAACATTTCATCATAAGTTACCCAACTCCCAGACAATTGTTGGCTAGGATGTGATTTGAATAAAACAATTACAGCATGAAGCACAACATATGGTATCTTATTTTGTTGCTGTTGTTGCAATGGTAAATGGGAATGTTTGCTTGTTTGTTTTTAGTTGTAAATGAAAATTTTCATTTTTCCTAATATTAGTAGTTAACAAAAGGAATGTCCCCCTTTTTTCCTCAGAGCAACCCTATTATGTTGTGTGTTTTTTTAATTGATGAGAGAAAGAGAGAGAGAGGGTGTGGGGAGTCACAGGGAAGGCTAGTACTCATTCTTCAGTATCTGCCATGGGCATAGCTGTGGCCATTACTCTCACACAGGAAGCATGTGCTTTGGCTGCAGTGTCAGGATCTTGGCTATAATCTCCTAAAAAAGCAAACATGCCCAAAGCATTTCCATGACTTTCAGGCACAAAAAAACCATTTTGCACAGTTGGGTTGTCCTACACTGGCGAAGACAGAAGACAGCCTTTGAACTAAGAACTCAATCTTTTCGTCATTTAGTGACAAAGTGTGGGGCTTTCTACCCTTAAGAGGACATATAAAGGTTGTGCAATGAAAGAGAGACTTGGAGTCCAATCATGACAACATCCAATAAGCCCGTAAAATCCCCTTAATTCTCTTTCATCACGGGGTGAGGGAAAGGACTAAATATTTCTCTTTCGTTCAGAATCCAATTGAGAAACCTTGATTTCAGATGATCTGACCCAAGGATTGGACTATTTTTTGGAGCCAATTGTAATTTTTCTTTAGACACTTCATGTCACCCTCCAGCTAATGGAGACGATAAATAAAGGTTTCTCTCTGGTTGGGTAGCCCAGTTGGTTAGAACACAGTCCCAATACGCCAAGGTTGCGGGTTCAATCCCCAGTCAGGGGATATACAAGAATCAACCAATGAATGCATAGGTAAGTGTAACAATGAAGTGATGTGTCTGTCTCTCTCTCTCTCAAATAAATAAATAACAAACAAACAAACAAATGCTTTCTGCTGAAGAAATTTCCTCAGAAGAGGGGAAGAGTAACAATTCACCTGCACATTGTGTTAGGGTAGAATCACTAGAAAACACAAGGTCTTGAATGTCTACCTTCTAAATCTAAAAAAGTTAGGCTCTCCCTATATTTGTGTGGCATAACAGTCCAGGTATATTGCTGTTGATTCCAAGTTAAAGGCACACAACAATGGACCCTGAGAGGCCCTGGCCAGGTAGCTCACTTGGTTAGAGCATCATCCCGATATGCCAAGGTTGAGCGGGTTTGATCCCCGGTCAGGGCACATACAAGAATCAACCAATGAATGTAGAGATAAGTGGAACAACAAATCAGTGTTTCTCTCTCCTTCCCTCTCTCTCTAAAATCAATACATTAAAAAAAACAAATTGACTCTGAGAATGTCCTGGTACCCTCAAGAAAGCATTACTTAAGTTACAATCCAAAAATAGGAAATATTTCTGGAGATATTTGAAAGCAGAGTGTGAGGATTGGGCACCTCTGGTTGTCAGAGAATCACTATGGTATTGGATACTCTAGAATCTTAGACAAAACTTCATCCTCTGCCATGAATTTTTCTCACAGGTAAGGTAGGGGTGTTACATGTGTTAGTACAAGGTACAGTCATCTGTTTAGAAATATATTCATCAGACTGGTGCAGCCACTGTGGAAAACAGTATGGTGTTTCCTCAAAAAGTTAATAATGGAACTCCCACTTGACCCAGTAATCCCACTTCTAGGACTATATCTCAAGAAACCAGAAATACCAATCAGAAAGGATATGTGAACCCCTATGTTCATAGCAGCACAATTCACCATAGCTAAGATTTGGAAACAGCCCAAGTGCCCATCAACAGACGAGTGGATTAGAAAACTGTAGTACATCTACACAATGGAATACTACGCCGCTATCAAAAAGAAGGCTTTTGTTCCCGAGATTATTTGATGCCACCAGAACCTCACTGTCCTTAGGGCTACTCACTAAGGATGTAAACATACAGGGAAGAAAGAGGCAGGTGAGCCAGGGTGCTGGACGGGGCCAGTTTCCATCAAAAAGAGAGAACAGGTCTTACTAAAAAAGAAAAATGAAATTTTATAGCTGGCTATAAGCTCTCTACTCCAAGAGTCATGAAGGTCAGGTGAGAAGAATCAGAAGTTCTAGAGCAGTGGTTCTCAACCTTCTGGCCCTTTTCGTTGCTACTTCATAACTGTCATGTTACTACTGTTATGAATCGTCATGTAAATATCTGATATGCAGGATGGTCTTAGGCGACCCCTGTGAAAGGGTCGTTGGACCGCCAAAGGGGTCGCGACCCACAGGTTGAGAACCGCTGCTCTAGAGACATCTGAGAGAGTCACAATATTCTTTTCCCCCCCATTTCTTAAGGATCATAAAAGTGGAAATAACCACTAAATTATGGCATGGTCTGGTCCAAACTAGTTGCAATGTTTTGCAGCAACCAGTCCACCATATTGTATCTCAATTATATCTGGATAAAGCTGGGGGGACAGGGGGAGAAAGAAATAAAGGGGCCCCCCAGTTGTGCAGCCCAGGTGGACAGCAGGAATTGTAGACCCGGAAGTAGCTCCTCATTCATTCCTAGGACTCCCTGTGGCTGCCCTGTGTTGGGGACCAGGTGTAAGCTGACACGGTCCTTGCACCTGAAGGGGCTAGCAAGGCTGGGACCCTTACCCACACAGTTTTCCCAGACTTGTTTGGATGGCGGTTATCAGTAGAATGAGAGCAACCTTTGTAGAATGAGAACAGCCTTTCATGGCTTACCAAGAAGTCTAACTATTTACTGAGATTTGCTGTACCGAGAATTTGTCCTTCTGTGTCTCTCCCTTAGAGATTAAGAGGAACAAAGAACACATTCCTCTTGACAGACCTCCTATTCAGTGTCTTGTGTATAAATAGCATTGTGTGGTTAATAAACTTGCTGCAGTTCCTCAAATGAGCTGCAGTCCTCCGGATCCCGCTTTCCTGTCTTTCTTTCTTTTTCTCAATTCCCACTTCCCTACCTCAGCCCGGCTCAACCTGTCAGGCTGGTCCTGACAGCCCTGGGGTCAGGGTGTCAGCTGGAGTGGGGAGGTGTTGGCAGGGGTGGGGCAGACCAATGAATGGACAACCCTAAGAGTGTGAGACATGCTGTGACGAGGACAAATACAGGACCCCAGGGGACCATGATCAAGTAAGCCTTCACAAGGCAGATGAGGGGAGACAGGGCAGGGGCCACCCCAGGGACAGTTCCTGGACAAGTGCCGTGCAACCTAAATAGACAGTGAGAGAGAGAGAGATTCGGTAAGGGTGGGTGAAAAGCTACACCCCTCTGTCCATGTCCCATAGCCCAGAACATTGGATGCCAGGGAGGCTGGGAAGTGTAGCCTTGATTCTCGGTGGCCACGGACCAGCTCATAGCGAGGGTCTCACCTGTGTGCTGGAAAGAGCCTGGGTAAGGGGGCGGGGTGGGGAACGACAGCTGGTCTAATGCATCTGATAATAATAACCAAGCAGCAGGGGTAACAAAACAACCGAATGCCATTTGCTGAGCACACGCGACTCAGCAGAAATTCTGCCAACACTTGACCCATAGTTCTCTCACTGAGATGTTTTGGCAGCCCAGAGATGTGCTGCCCTGTCTTATACATGGGTACTATTGATGTTCGTTGTGAACGGTGATGCTGAGATGAGCCGGACATGCAGGATACAGAGAAGCAGAGGGCTACCACTCGCTCAGGCGAGTAGCAAAGGCCCCCAAAGCCCTCATGGCTTTTATTTGGGGAGTACAGCAAATAACAATGGAGTACAGCAAGTGACAATGATTAACAGGCATGCTTATGAGATCATCTGAGCTAAGTTATACATTACACTATTAATTTCCTCTGTTATACAAAGACCCTTTCCACCTGCAGCAGTGTACCCTCCCTTGAACTTTCCATGCCTTCATGGACTATTTATCACCTCAAGGAAAGTTCTGCCTCTGAACAATAAGTCTTGCTTGCAAGACTTTGTTCTGACGTGGC